ACGCAAAGAAAAAAAAAATTTTAATGGAAAAACGTAAAGGTCTTCATCAGGACGCATCCTTTACGAATAAATGCGATATTTCTGAATTAAGAATAACTATCCTAAGATAAAAATTACTAATAAGTTCAAAATATAGAGAAAACAATCAAAACAATGAAAAGAGAAGAAGAAAATTATTAAATTAAAATAAAATGAAACAAAATAACACAGTAAAAAAAATAATAATAATAAAAAGCTGTGTACACATATAATATATACATATATAATTCGTCTTTCAGCAATAATGCTTTCACAAGCCTCCCAGAAGATATATTCACAAACATGCCTGCTTTGAAAAGACTGGCAATTAGAACAAATGGCTTGACTAGGATTCCAGAGCAAACTTTCAAGCCCATATGGGATCAGGTGAACATCGTTGATTTACGAGGTTCGTATCATTTAGGGATAATTACTTACAATTTTTTAATTCAAAACTGTTTTCTTCTAAAACTAGAACTACGGGCTAATGCTGTAAACATTAAATTCCTCTTATGACAATTTTAGTTAATCTGTCAATTAAAAGCAATATGTGTGCAAAAATATGCGCAAGTGCGAAAAGCTTGTTACTGTAATTAGCATATTTATCCATCTTTTAAAATTTAGTCTTATTTTTAAAATGTTTTCATTTCTCGCCAGCCCTTCCTCTACATTTCAAAGGAAGGGTTACCTTTTCATTTCTAAATAAAGGGAGATGCGAGCAACAATAGTTTCAGCAACAATAGTTCAGCATAGTTGAGCATAATTTAGATATCTTGATCACCTATAGGCATTATTGCTTGTCAAAGATGATCAGATGTTTCTAATTGTATATGTATCTATATTAAAATACCAATAGTGGTGATTCATTACATGCTTTATGACCAGTAGTTGTGCCAGCACAAATAGTTGCTTTGACCAATACCTCCTAAAAGAGAAAAGTTCTCAACACGGGTTACCATAAACAAGAAATTTGATCTTTTAGTAGTTCAAACGTAATGACATGGTTTGAGTTACCGCCACTGATCAGTTTATGTTCTTTACGTCGGAAAACTAAATTGATCAGTGCTGAGACCTTCTCACTTCTAGGGGGTGTTGCTTTGACATAAAATAAATAACACATAATTTAGCCACACATAAGCATCATTGTTGCTCATTAAGTTGGTCAACTATTTCTATTTGCATATTTATGTTCTATGGGTTTACTAAACAGGGCTACGATATTATGAATCGTACTTTTTATTTATAAATTTGGTAAAAAAAATAAGGTATTAATCAAAATAAACATGCAATTTATGAATAAAAAACGTATATAAATACCTGATGAAGATATATTAGAATTTAACATTTTTTAATTACAATCATCAAGAACATCCAAATTGCATTGTAGTATCAACAAAAAAAAATTTTTTTTGACATTCTTTAAATTAAAAAATTTTCTTTTGTCCATTCTTATGTAAACTATCATATCTTGGAAAAACTTAGTACAACATCAATATTTGCCATAGTCGAAACAAGAACGAGATTGAATGCAAAATTTGCGCTATTAATTCTTCTTAAAATTAAAAAAAAATAAATAAAATTTCATATGAATCATAAGTTAGCATAGTCTTCAACGTCATTTTTTAATGTTGTAATTTGTTTTCTTAAGGAAATCCAATCATATGCGATTCCCAACTTGACTGGATTGCTAAGCTGAAATCTAAAACTGCTGTATTTGGAAGATGTGATGGCCCTGAAGACCAACGTGGCGTTGAACTTAATGACTTTATAAGTGGAAGATAATTAACTGCTCTTAATAAATAAAAAAATAGTAATTTTTTCCTCGTTTTTTTTTTCTTCTCTTTTTACGCACAAATCAATACACATATGTACACGCTTCAGTTCAAAGCATATTAGCAAACAATTAGGGCTGTATATTATGAAAAAATAAAATTTTAAAAAATGAAGCAAATTCTTTAACTCAGGGTAGGAAATGCTTTAGTACTATCAAACCGCAAGATACGTCACGAACCGTAAATGGCAAAGACGTTTTCAGTTTAACTAGCAAAAATATTTAGATATTTTTACTGTCAGTGATATTTTGGTATTTTTATTTCCTTTCGATATTTTTATATTTGTTGGCAAAGAATTTAGTAAGTAAAAAAGGGGGAAATCCCGCCAATAAGTTTTTACAATGGATGGTGTTTTCTACACTAGGGAGCGCTGCAAGTTCGGGACTGCCTAAATTTCCGGGATACTG